GTCCCTGCCCGGGGCAGGGGTTGGAGCTGGAGGAGCTTTAAGGTCCCTTCCCACCCAAACCAGGCAGGGGTTCTGTAATGTTGCTCTTTGCAGGTAGAACCCAGAATCCTGCACTGAACTCATCGGGTAAATGGGTGAATCAAGCAAGATCCACTTGTGGTCTCCAGCCCAGTGAACCTGTGTCTGTCATCCTCTGTTAAGAGGAGAGGATCCCAAAGCGGAAGGAAGCCAGAAGCTGTTCAGAAGGTATTTTGCTACTGAGCAGTTTCTGGAGTGGTTTTATGCTCCAGCCTCAGGAGCAGCAGAGCTGGGACCTGAGCAAGCAGCCGTCGTGACAGCAGAGGAAGGGACAGGGTCTCACTGCAGCCGAGCTGCTATTTGCATCCCGAGCTCCAGCGGGATGATTCAGGGCTGTGGGTGCAGGTGGGAGGCAGCGGCTGTGCCAGGCTCACCCAGCCCTGCTCTGGCAGCGCCGACGCTCCCGCTCCAGCTCCCCATGGATGTGACTCACCCAACAGAGCGTGCACACACGTCAAAGCCGGCTCCAGGAGCCAGAGGGAGGCACCGGAGAACCGGGGCTGGAGGCTCCCTGGGAGCTACGTGCTGCCAGGAAGAGCTGCCATAGCCCAGGGAGCTCCAGCATCGCCCATCCCGAGGGAAGCGGCGAGGATGCCCCTCTGCCCGCAGCTGCCACTCTAACACAGGACTTCCTTCCCTCTGGAGCACTGGCACCAGGGGTCGTGCCTCTCTGAAAGCCTCCAGGGACCACCGCTGGAGCGGGAACACCCCAGCTCCTGCCACAGGACAGAGAGGCCGATCCCACCGGAAAGGGGAAAGATCCCACTGCTCTTCCTGGGCGAGAGACAGCCCCCACCAAGCACCTTCCTCCTGTTTCTTACCGACTGCTCTGACACTTCAACTCCCTCAACTGCCTCGGTTCCTTTAAGCTTCCTGCTTCCCAACTCCACGCCAGCCATTTATCACCTTTCCCTGTCGAGTTTTCTCACAGTTAAGCAGCACTGAAAAGAAAGACACAACCTTATTGTTTGCTTGTTTTCCAATACAGTGAATTTATTATATGTTGCAAAATCAGCATTCAGCTTCTCAGTGTACAAAAAAGACACTAGCTCTTAAGAAAAGATTAGGAAAGCTGAAGACTATGCTGCCTTTAAACTGTAACATTTTGGCAAAGTGAAAAGCTCTTTTGTAAACTCCAACTCCATGGCTCAATATAGTTTTATCCACAGTACAATATTACAAAGGAAAACACAGTATCAATAAGTTAAGATCATACTTAATCACCTACAACTGGTTTCTATTTAACCCAAAAAGCACAATATTTGCCTAGCTTCATCATCTCTAAAAAGAAAAGGAAGAAAGGAAAAGGCAGATTTGACTACAACTCTTTAACACAGTCCAAAGAAAAGGGAAGCAGGAAGGTGGTGGATGCTTAGTTGGGTCTCACAGTTTGGATATTCATTAAATATTTTCAGGGTTTCTTTTTTATATTCAAATTTTAGAAGTTCCAGAATATACATGTCAATGTACACAATACATCTCTGTATACAACTCTGTTTGCAAAAATATCTTATAGCAGATGTATAAAGATCGAGATCCATCTCTATCCCTCCCCCCCACCCCCAAGCAACAAGAAAACCCCATTCAAAATATTAAGGATCAGAAGGAGAAGTGTTTCCATGGAAAGATTTACTTGTCCTGGGGCTGCTGCCCCTTCTGCCACCCGAGCTCCTCACGCACCACTTGGAGATCAAAGTCTCACCAAGCCCCGTGGCTCAGGCTGGGAGAAGCAGGAATTGGGCCTGGGAAAGCCACCTCAGTGCACAGGGAGCTCTGCTGGAGCCGGAGCATCGCCACCAGCCACCACCTCCTGCTCAAGAAACTTGTGCATCGAGCACATGGCAAGACCCCACCGAGCAGGAGGACAAAGTCTTCTGGCCAAAAGCTCCTTGCCTTTAATGTGCATTTTCCAGTTTTCCCTGATGAGCAGCAGCACTGGAGACAGGCAGCGCTACACAAACGGGAAGAGCTGCAGGAGAAGCATCTCCCTCACCTCCACTTGTCCTTAGCTGAAGAAGAGATGGGACCAAAGCATTCCCCGAGCCCAGAGGTGCTCGTTGGGACTTCCGAAGCGAGGCTCTTGGGGTGCTCACCCTACACACCACAGCGTTCCTTGGGCTTCACACCTCTTCCCTCCTCTCCTTCACTGCCCCGCTTCTGAGCGGGTTTGGTTTTGCAGCCCAGCAGAACAAGGTGGTTGTGCAAGTCCATGAACCACGGCCCGAGGGGCTCAGGCGTAGGCTTTGCTTGGAGACCGGGATGGCAAAGTCCTGGTGAGTGCTGAGGGGATGCTGCAGGGAGAGAAACTCGGAGCACTGCCTGTGACAAAGCAAAGCGGTGGCTCTGGCCGGACGATGCAGCAAACCCCATCCAGCCAGAATGGAATTGTTATGAATTATTTCTTCTTGTTTTCAACACAACAGATGGACCCACTTTTTAGGGGAAGCAGGAAAAGGATCAAATGCTCCTTGTGTTAAGAACTGTTTCCCTCCTTAACTCTGCCATTCCGCTCCTTCCAAGGGTGAAAGAGTCTTCAGTGCAACCTCCAAGGGAAGGAGATGCCACGGGAAAGGAATCCTTTACTCTGAGATAAACGGAAGCGGGAAGAAGTCAGATCACACAGGCTGGCAGGATTAAAAGGGGAGAGGGGAGAGAAAGAAATAGCAGAGTTAAAGGCCACCTTTGTGCTTTTTGGAGTGTTTCTCACACCCTGGCCATACTCTTCAAAATGTTCCCTTCAAGTCCAAAAACAAAAACACAAAATCAAGAAGAAAGACTGCACCAGAAGCTGGCTGATAGAGCACGAGAGTGGAAGTGACCCGCATGGGAAAGTGCTACCTTACTTCTCTCATGCTCTGGTGTCTGTTCTGAGAGCGATTTTCTGCTGCTGCTTCTTTGGAAAGACACATAAACCAGAAGGAGAAAGCATCGTGACCCCCCCACCTCCCACCTCCTCTGCTCTGATGTACAGGTGGTAACTCCTCTGGGAAACTATCCGATAAGCTTCAGTAATACTGTGGTTGGAAGAGAGGAAAAGGGTCTGAAACACTCGTCCTGAAAGGAAAAGGGAGGCACAGATTTAGAAAAAGATGCTCTTTTTGTCCTTTTTCTTTTATACAAAAATAGACCAAAGTCTCATCAGCAATTAATAAAATTGGCTGCCTTGGTATAAAGTTATAAAAGGCAAAGACAGGTCTCGATCTTCCCAGCCCTGGGATGTGAAGGTTACTGCAGGCACCGGCCTGCAAATGCTGGGGAGGCCACAGCAAGACACTTCCACCCGCTGCTTCCAGACACACAAGCAGAGAACAGGAAAAAGGGGCTGTGATTTAGAGAGCGGGGATCCACCTCTGCCCCGCACGAGGCCTCGGGGCAGATCCAGGGGCTGATCCCCTCCTCCTGACACAACCACCTCAAGAGAGCAACACACCGGAGATGACAAAAGCAGGACCAAACAACGAGAGCTCTGGGTACTTGGTGTATTTAACGCGGTGCCATGTGGAGCAGACAGCTTGCATATGAACAGTCGCAGGTGCCAGAGCAGGAGGTCACCCAGCAGCATTCCAGTTCCTCACCATTTGAAGGACAATTTACGGTAACCCAGTGGACCTGGGCCAGGGTAATTACACTTCATGCCAAACATTAATCCATGAAAACTACTGATTCTTAACCTTTGGGAGCTTCGGTCACTTTAGGTCAGTTTTCCCTTAAGTGTCAAATGCTGGCTTCAAAATAAGCAGAGGGGTTTTTTTTGTGTATTTTTTGTTTTGTCATTTGTTACATTCCAACATTCAGAGAGGCTAAAACCCAACAGGCCCGTGTCAGGCACTGGGTTTGCAACCCAGCTCCGACGTGGCTCGGGCAGCTTCAGCATCATCGCAAGTCATCCCCAACTTCAACCAGGAGGAATTAACGCTCATCTCTGAAAGGAATCTAGTTGTACAAAAGGGAACGGAACGTCCGGGTGACTTTCATTTTGCCCTCCCCAGTCCAGATCAGTGCCAGCTAGAACTGCTGCTGGTCATACTCTGCTATCAGTTTCTTAATATGAGCCAGTTTGTTGTGGAGGTATTCGCAGCGGTTCTTCTCTTGGCTGTAATTGGGGTTAGTCTGTAAAGAGAAATGAGAACGCAGTGATGGGAGGCAGTTCTTCCCAACTCAGTGACACCT